TTGGGCCGCACCAGCTCTGCTCACTGTCTGCTTCCATGGATAGATTCTTGGAGGAGAACTGAGCCGTGGCAAGTCAGCTTGCCATTGGGACACATTGGAAAACAAGAGAAGTGGTTTTGGTGGAATGGCATGCCAGGGTTTCTTGAGCAACTGCAGCATGGGAGATTGCAGCATCGACTGAGGCCGTGCATTTCTGTAGCAAGCAGAGTCTCTGCAGTGAGTCTTATTTAAATAACGTGAATACTTGTAGGAATTCAAATAAGTTTAAAAAGAAGGAAGTGGAAGAGGAATTTAAATCCTTGAAATCAGTTGCTTACAGTGTTTTGATTTGCTGTAATTACTGGTTTTACTTTGCTCAATAAGAGCACCTCTGGATGATTTCTTATTTTATTTTTAATTAATAAACCTTTGGCTGTCTTACAGCACTGTTAGCTCGCCGTGCACTCAGGTGCTGTGCTGAAGGTCCCATGCAGGCATGTGTGCAGCCACAGTGCTGTGTCCCTGTGCACAGTGCTCTGTGTTCAGCAGCCTCAGTGTCTGGCTGCGACCTTCAGCCTCCTCAGTGAGTCGCAGCCATTGCTTCTGTCTGAACGTGCACTGAGCATGATTTCATGAGAAGAAATGTAAAACTTCAGGAGTGATCGGAATGGGATGTGGAATAGGGCAGCTGTGCAGGGAGCCTCGTGTATGGGCAGTTAATGACATCGCTCTGTTTCCTTTGCTAGAGCTGTCTCTAGCTTGCAATCTCTTCTGCAAATTGTAGCCGATGAGAAAACAAGAGTCCAGAATTATCATCATGCTGTGGTTGGTGGCATGGCTGTGTGGTGTCGGATGTACCATGGGGCTTTGCCAGAGACTGAGACAAATATTTTTTTAATTGCTTATTATCTGGCACATCCAGTTGCCAGCTGTATCCAGTATGCAGACTCGGGTATTGATTCCACAGCTGAAAGATTTAGGAAAAGAATGAACAATGTTTTTTCATGATTTTTTTTTTTAAGCTGTAACTAGCCAAATAGCTTCATGCACCCAGCCTGGTCCAGCACACGTTTGTGTTGCTTCACTCATCTAAGTTCCCCAACAGCTGTGGTTGGAAAGAATGTGAATATAGAGTTTGGTGCAAGCTGAAAAGAGACGAGGGGTTAGGGAGGGGTCCAGGCCTGGTGAAAGCTGTTTGCTGACTTCCCTGAGGGTCTTCACCCAGACATTTACTCTTGAGAATGCTTGCTGTCAGTGGTGCAGGCTCTCTGCTGGGCTGAAGTTGCCCAAAGCACCAGAGAGGCCAGGGCTGAGCTGTGCTGTTGGAGGGAGCTTCGAGATCTGTCTGGATAAACAGTGGTGCTGTCCTGGGGAATGGGAGGAAAGTGGCTGCAAAAACAAAGCTCTCCTGGGGGAAGACTCTGTGGTAGGAAGGAGATGGAAACTTGAACTGAAATAACTCCTGTCTTTGTGAGTGTGGTACTGTGCTTTCACTGAAACCCGTAACCTTACTGCAAGCTGCTTTTAATGGGGAATCTTACTTGCAGAATGGCTGGTGGGAGGAGATTTGGGGGGGCAACCTTTGGAGCTTAATGCAATGAAATGATCTATTTCCTCAAGGAACGGAGTTACTGAAATACAGTTCTCAGATTTTACCTATCAGTGTGCTGCGAGCTGAAACACAAATCCCGTCTGCTGCAGCATCCCAGAAGAGCAGGCCTGCAGCTTTGTGTTGCACCTCCTGTGCATCAGTGTGCTGCAGCATGGCTGTCTGGCATCGCAGGATGTGAATGCACCAAGCTGATGCTGATGCTCCTATTTTCAATCAGTGCCTGTGTGTGCTGGCTCTGCACGTGCTGTTCTTTGAGCTGGCTCTGCTCAGGGTGTGCAGTGGTTGGGTGCAGTGCTGCTTCCTGCTCCTGGTCTTGTGTTTTCCGCTTTGATCCTGGTGGAAGGAGCAGCTCAGAATGGGCTTCTTGAAGCTGCTGCTTCAGCATCTGCTTTTGGCACTGGAAGGATTTAACCAAAGCAAACATTGCTTTAATTTGGCCAATTCTGCCGTCATGCAAGGCAAGGACGTGTAATGGCTTTAACTTTGGAAATGAGCACAGGCTGCAAATTTGGCGAAGGCCGGGGCTTGGGTAATGTGTGTGTGGTCATGTAACCAGCCTCACTCCCTGCCTTGTGAGGGACAGATCGTGGCACCCTTGGTTTCTCATCCACTGCTCCTCCCTGGCTCTGCTCGGCACCTTTCCCAGCTCCAGGCGCACACCCAGGCATAATCCTCCCCTTCCAGCCCTCTTTTATAATGTTATCCCCGTTCCTTCCATTTAAATGTGGATGTTGTAATTACAGAGCACAGGATCCCAGTTTTTAGAGATCTGCGACCACAATAAAGTGAATCCAGAAACCAGACGAGTGGTTTCATTTACTGCCATTCTAGCTTATTTCCTCCCCCCGCAACCGCTGTGCAATGCTGAAGGCTTGGCAGCAACTGAAACCAGCTGTCAATAAGGTTTCCTACCCCCACACTTTTAAGTTAATGATGTTCTGAAATTAATGGTGCACTGGATTAATTCTGTCATCTCGTTTTGATGGACAGTTGGTCTCTTGGAAGTGATGTGTGCCAACGGGCTTTGTTTGGAGGTATTGCCCTGGAGAAGTGGATTCCCAAGTGCAAGGCACTGTGTGTGAATATATATACATAAACATATAGAGAAAATATGGGTTTTGTCCTGAAGTGTTTATGGCTTCATTTTGCCAGGTGTGTTGCAATCACCTAATGCACTTTCGGGCTCATAAGCCCATCACTTTTAGGAGTGCCACATGTGGGATAGCAGTGGTGAGTTCTATAACTTCGCCCTTTTTTCTCCCCTAATGCAGTGTATGGACTTGTGACAGGAGCTCCTCCAATGTTCCCTTTTGCTGAAACTTTGGAAGGAAGCTCTGAGCTGTGTCAGAGCCGTGTTGTCCCTGCTGCCACCTCCTATGCCTGGACAATGCTGGGGACGTGGGGACAGCAGTGTCACCTTCCATCCCTTACAGGGAAGCAGCACTACATCTGCAGGCTCTATCTGGCTTCTCTTGTGCAGAGGGGCTGCTGTGGCAGCATCATGCCTTCAGGTTTTGGAGCTGTATCCTGGAGGAAAATAGAATCTGCCTCTGCACTACCCAAAAACTCTTCTCCCCCATCCTAAGCTGTGCAGTCCGGAGAATAAGAGATTCATAATAGAGATGAAAGTTGACATCTGGGTTCACTTTCTGCAGAGGATGTTCTCTGTGGAGAGCAGTGAGAGAAGCTGTTAACACCAGCTGCAGGCTGGGGATGCAGCCGTGAATTATCCTGCCTGTGGAAATCCCTTTGGTTGGAGGGGCCCTGTGGGGCTGGGCAGTGCCAGGATATGAGTGGTGGGTAGGATGACTTTTTGGTTGTAAATATGGTTGCATTTTCCTAGCAAACATTGGGAAATGTGAATTTTCTGTCTGCTTTAATGCTATTTATTAATAGGCTCCGTGCAGGAGGATGTGTTGGTGGGGAGGGATGCAGCTTCCTGTAGTTCAAACCACACTTTGCTGTGAGGTTTTGCTTTCCAGGAATACACTGCAGATCTACACTAGAGCTAGAATTAATCAGTGTGACAATGTGATGAAAACAACTTACCCCAAGTATTTGATAGTGTTTATGATTCCCAGCTGATATTTACAGCCTTTCCAAGTGTGACATGAGATTTGTCTCTAATGACGAATTGTGGCTGATTAACAGTGTTTCTCTCACCACAGAACAGGAATGGCTTTACACCTTTCTTTGATTTAGAAAATATGAATGGAACTTACTTTGAATTTGCAAAACTTTGGGCGTTAACAATACACAGATCAAAAGTCACACCTTCCCAAGCTCTGTCAAATCCATATTTTCACTTGTTGTTATCTCTAGGTGATGTTTCAGACTTCAGGGCACGAAGTAATGAGATAGACTTATATGCTATGCAAGAAACACTTCTGTTTATATAAGCAAGGAAGAGAAGGAAAAACAGTCATTCAGTTCCAAGCCAAAATCTGAAGTTTAGGGGATTTAGCTTGCTTATACCTATAAAAAGCCCTGCAAGAAGCACTGCTGCTGTTAGTGTTCAGAGTTGGCCATTTGTTTTGGGCTCATTGGCGTTTACATCACAAACATCTTCAGAGAAGTAAATTCACAAGTGTTTGCCTGTCATCACATGACAAGTCCCGGAGCCTGGATTGATGTAATCAGCAACAGACACACGTCAGAAAACTGACTGTGGTTCAGAAGAATACAATATTTTATTAATTCCTCATTTGGTGTGTGTCTGCGTGTGTTTTAAATGAGCCTCGGGGGGTTCTTTCCTTCTGCCAAGAAATAAGAATGGTTCGTGCGAGTTTGTTTCGGTGCACCACAACTGTGGTGGAGAGCAGCAAAGCTGGGTTGCCCTTCATGACAGATATCTTTATAAAGAGCTGTGTTTATTAACAAAGTGAAAACTCGCTGTGCATTTTAAAGTTACAGCTATGTAGATGTTGGTTCAAAGTAGGTGCATGTAGCTGTAAAGTTTGCACACCTGAATAAAACATTTGCAAGAAGATGATTTTTCTGCAAACAGCGATGCATTGAGTTTCGTGGTGTTCACAGTGTGGGTGCAGCTGGGTTGCCTCCTGCAGGGAAGTGCCTGCAGCACCCCGTGCCTTGCAGCCTGCAGCCTTGCAGCACACCAAGCAGTTCATCGTGCCCAAGCAAAGGTGAGGCTTGGTTTCACTCCCCCATAAAAGGAGTTGAGTTTGCTCTGGTGTTTCAGGCCACAGGGCAGCCAGAGCAGCAGTTGGCCACATGGTGCCCCGGGCTGTGCGTTGCATGGGGCAGACATGCAACCATCCTCCTTAGCAGATGGTTTGAAATCCAAAAGCTGTGTACAGTTTGCACTCAGAGTAATCTGAAACGTAAGTCCCTATGAGCGATTAACTGAGTTTTTAATTATTTTTGCTTTTTTCTCCATTTTGTTTTGCAGGTATTCCTTTGGTAAGTGAATAAAAACAAGAAAAAAATCTGCAGTAATAATTTATTGGTGCATTCGTGGGTACGTAGTTTTTACTAATCTTCCTCCCTCTGTCAAATGTTTACGTTTAAGATTGTTTTTACTCTGCCTTTTATTTTTTTCCTCTTTGTATCCTCTTCAGGGGATTTTCATCCTTCTCCTTGTTCTGAAAGGTCATTAACAAGTTTCAAGTGCACTTACCATGTGTGTACCAGTGAGGTGATGCTTCGCCAAATGGAGAAGCAGAGGAATATGGAGAACTGCTCTCCTGTCTGTGTATTTTAGCTAATCACTCCAAAGTGGTGTGGATATTTTAACTAGCTGGACTTTGCCATATGAATCCATACTTCTGTTGTGTTAGCGAGTGCACCCATTATAGTTTTAACCCAAATTATTTATCTTCTGTATGCTTCCTGCTTTCACCAATGGTTTTACAAAAGCTGCCTTTCCCGAGTTCTGTGTTTTTGTCCCTTCTTTGTGTCCTGACTGGAGAGCCACCCTATGAAGGTTTCTGAAGCCCTTTGTACGCAGTAGGGTTTCTCCCTTCCTTGTTTTTGGCTTAGGGACTATTTCTGAGTGAGATGAATGAGATGTAAATCTCGAGCTACTTTTGTTAGAATACAGGAAAACCACAATATTTTTGTTATAATATAGCTGAAACAACAACACTGCCATCCATTGCTGTAGAAGTACATTAAATATTGCTGAGCTCTGGAAGCCTTCTTCTTTGGTAGCATCTACTTCAAAGCAGGATCTTAAAATAAATAAATAAATAAATAAAAATTCCTGGAGAGATCTTTGTAAATGCTGACTGTTTCCTATTCCCCTCCAGGAAGCATGCTTTTTTTTTGATACATCTTAGGATAGATTTTGGTAGCCTCTATTAAAACTGCAGGCTGTCCCCATGAATTTTAAAGAACTCTGGAGTCTGGAAATAACAACAAGCTGTTAGGCCAAATGGGATCAACTGGTATTGCCACAGGTTCTGCTCTTTGCTCTTACTGCTGTCAGGTAACAGTTATTAAAAACACACCTCATTTGGGGAATGGGCTGCAAGGCGCCGTGCTGGAGGTTTTGTAGTGCAGAGCACCAGCCGTGTTGGGCTGTTTGCTTCTGAGAGGTGCTCTGTGCTGGGAACCTGGAGTGGGCTCCAGCCTGAGGGATAGAGCTGGTCTGAAATTAGCTGAGCTGCAGGAATTTCTTGGCTTTGTTTGTTGTCGTTCTACATTTGACTTTAGGTGCAGCATGGTGTGTTTCATGAGCACATGCTGGGTCTGTCCCAATGTGCCGGTGCTGCTCGGGTGTGTGATGCTCCTGGCCAGGAGGTAGGAATGGCCCCTTCTCATACTGTTCTCTGCAATGCAGTGCTCTGGAGGTTGAGCATGGACTACTTGCTGGCTGCAGTGCTTGGAGATGCTTTGGTCCTTCCTCCTTCCTGAGCTGGGGCTGCTAGAGCCTTTAGGATGGGTGGAGGTGCTGCCTGCCCCCAGCACAGCACACTTGCAGGCTGTTTCAGGAGAGCTGGGCTCCTATGGCAGCACCGTTTGCAGCCTAAATCTTATCCTCAGAGCCAGGTTTGGTTCTGGCTGAGGGCTGCAGTACCTAGAGATCTGCTAGAGAACCAGCATAGTGGAATTTGTAAGTCACAGCTTGGAACAGTGATTGAGCTCCTGATGGGAAGGCAGGGCCAACCCAGGGGAGTTCAGGTGTATGCAAAGCACTTGAGTGACCAGAAGGGGTGGAGACAGGATCCCCCCCTTCCCAGACCTCATTTAAAGGTTGGCAATGGAGGCAAGGGTATCTTGCTGGAGATTCCTGTTTATCTGAGGCTTTGCAGAGGTAAGCAGACTTTTTTTCTTTTATTTCTGTGTCCATGGCCATTGCATCTGAGCAAATTCTCACTTGCTGCAGCTTAGGACTTTGCTGCTTTGCTGCCATTGGTGTGTTTTCCATCGTGTTACAACCAGCAAGGCCAGCTTGTTGTTTTTCTTAAAGTCTTTGCTCTCCTCCTGAAAATTAAGGGCATCTTTTCTTCTGGTGTAGAATAAGACTACAGCTGCTTCAGCCGATCTGTGGTGCTGACAGCATGGCTTCTTCTGGCCCTTTCTGAGCAAGGGTTTGTTATTCCGGAGCAAGAGCTCCTGGTGGTGCTTCTGTCTGAGATACCCTGAGGTTTTTCAACATGCAGGCCTGGTTTGTGCAGTGATTTATCATCTCCTCTCACAGAGGCTTTGAAGAAGGTGATGCTCCTGTACGGGGTTCCTTGCCCTCTTTCTTTTGTTCTGCCTCTTATTACCTTAAGTAACTCCAGATATTCAGAAGACAGCTTGGCAGTGCAGTGCATGGTCTGAGGTGCTGCAGCAGTGCTGCGGTGCTGTGGGATACCAGAAGAGAGCCGAGCAGAGCTGCAGAAAGGCTGAAAGATCTCAGTTTGTTGCAGGCTGCCACGTCTCCCTGTAGAGCAGAAATGTAGGTGTAGTGTGGGAAAATGATGCAACCATTTAGGGAGATTCTGATTCCACATGGCTGTGTCTCTGGTCATCAGATACCTCTTAGAGCAGCAGTCTGAATTCCCAGTAAGGAACATGCAGAAAAATTCAGAAATGTGCCTGTTTACCTTTGGGCTATCAATGGGCTCATTAAATAGAAAGGATTGGGAAACAGCTGATCTTATTTGACTCTCGATGCACAAAAGTGTCCTATTCAGAGCCAAAGCAAATGTTTCCTTGGGGATGGTTCCAGAGAGCCTCACTTCTACACTCTGTGCAGGCCAACTGTATAGCTTAGAATTGGAGACATATTTTAAAAATAAGTGTTTCTTTCCTTTTGCAGTGAAATATCTTGTTAATCTTGGTGTGGAGAGAAGACAATTAGAGGTTCTCTGAATGTCAAATTCAACTCCAAATTTTTTCTGTCATCTCTAAACATGGAATAAGCAAATAATCTAGTCCCTATCTCTGCCTGCTCCCAAATTTTATGTGGCATCTATTATCTCAAAATTTAAGCTAAAGTGTGTTTTGATTAGAGGTAGAATAAAAAGTTGAGAGCGGAGTGTATGTAATTCTCCATTACTTGTTAAATCCTCACTCTGTACTTCAATGCAAATTGTTCCGAAGAGAATTTTCTTTTAAAAGGTCTTCAGGGATCTTGAATTTTAGATGTGCATTGACATAAAATGAAATGTTAGAGTGCACAGCTGGGGTTCTGGCTCTCGCAGCGTGAGATTGAGATGTTCTCCTTTGTGAGCGTGCGTTTCCAAGGAAGGGGTGAAGTTTTCCTGTGAGTTGCACTACATCGTGAGCAGAGAAGTGGCTGCCGAGGAAAATGAGAGTTGGGAGCACTTGGGTCAAACCTTGCTTGTGCAGGGCTAAAACTTAGCTTACAGGGCATGAAGATGGGTGAGTGTGGGCTGAGCTGTGCCCTAAGCGATGCTGCTCGTGCTTGTAGACCTATCTGCAGTGCCTGCTGGTGGGGCTGAGATGACCCAAGCATCACGGTGAGCAAATTCACAGGGATGCTGAACACTCCCTGGTCTGTGGCATTCCTAGAGAATTTGGTTTGGTGGCAGCACGAGGCCTCACTGAGACCTGGGGAGCAGCAATGGTTTGGGCACCCAGGTAGCTGCAGTGCTGTTCCTCGTCCTTCCCTGCTGCGAGGTGAGGGCTGGGCTGGCTTAGTGACTGTTCCTGTTCCTGGCCATTACCGTGATCTGCTGTTCCTATTTCTCGTGTAAGAGTGGGAAACTTTTCTCTCTGTCTTATTAAATCTATTTTTCAAGCTGTCACTTAACCAGGTCTAGTGACAGAGTCGGATGTTTATGTGGCCCTGGACACTTGAACTCTGGTGTTTTCAATCACAACAGCACCTTTTGCCAGCCGTTGTGAATTAAATACTCCTCGTGACCTTTTACCCTCGCCGCTCTTAAATTCATGCTTTAAAAACAGCTTAATGAGGGGTTTACTGGCCCAATTGGAAGTTTTTATTAAAACCTATTAGTGTGCTGGAGTAGCCTGCCTGAAGGAAACGATTAGCCCAAAGCAACTAAACTCGGAGCTGGCCCCTAGTCACACCAGGTTTTCCCTAAACTGTTTCCAGACCCACGTTAACCCTAACACTGCAGCCTGCATGGTATTCATATCCTCTGCTTTAATTTATAGCTTGTCTGATTCTCTCCCCAGCCTTTCTCCATGTTCACGAGAGCGTTTTGTTTTAATGTAATTAGACCTGCATTAAAGGGCAGCGTGCCTTCATCCGGGCCTCTCTCGTTTGGGAACCTCAATTAAGCAGGAATCCTCCTTGCAGGTCTGTGCATGAGGGTTGGAGCTGGGATGCTCTGAGGCCTCAAGAGAGCTTCACGTGCAGAGCATCCACCGGTGATGCTGGGGATTGCAGCGTGTAATGCAGAAGGTGCACATCTCTGGATGGCACATGGGAGCAAGAGTGGAACCCTGCTGGCTTCTGCTGCTGGTTTCCCCTTGGAGCCATCACATAAGCTCCAAGCCTGGCTTCATTTTCCAAGCTGGGCCAGCGGTGCTTGCCTGTTTTAAATATACATTTACAATGCTACTGAAGCTCTGCAGCTATTGTCTGAGTATTCTTAGGTGGATGTGTCTGTGCAGCTGAGAATATCAGGCAGGGCTTCCGCTGAAACAGCTCATTAAAGTTGCTGCAGCAAGTCCTATGCTGTAGAAATGCAGACTAGCTGTCACCTTTGTGCATGTTCCTCTGCACTCCTGTGCTGCTCTACTCATCCACGTTCGTGCAGTGCCTCCCCCAAAAACATGTTGTCTTGGAGAAAGGACCTCCAATTCTTTTCATAGATGTCTTTTTGGTGGGGTATCTTGTCTGTTCGTGGATGTCAGCAGCTACTGATCCAACAGCATGAAATAGTGTACAATTTGAAATCTGCACTTAATGTTTTACTGCTGGGTTTGTGTTGCTTGACTGCTGCAGTGCCTGTGCTGGTGTTCATGGCACATCCCAA